GAAGACAGGCGAGTACTCATCTAGTTTTAACCTTTTTTACTTGCCTTGCATCTATTTTCGATATATCTAGATTACAAGTGTCCAGTAGCTGAAACAGTATTATTCCATTTCTGTAAATATCAGCCAGGGTTACAGTAGCACAGGCAATTTTGAAAGAACTGTAACAGTGCAAACATAACAAACAAGCCAAAAGAAGAGCTTATAAAAGCAATCAGTTTCCATTATGCGGCCAACTAGCCACAAGGGATGCTCACATCTCTCTCCTTGATGCATTTTGAAGCTGACACTGAAAGCATCTCAAAGCAAACCCAGGTTGCACTTTTTGAGGTTTTCCTCACATGATCATTTCTGAAAACTCTGTCAAATTTATGGAAACCACAGTAGCTGCTTTGTGTCTGGACAGTCTTTTTAATTATGGCATGCAGAAAGGGAAAATTAACAGTTGTAGCCAAAAGTCCAAGGTGAAGAGAACAGCTACTCCAGTGGCTGTGTTGGTCCTCTGGGAGATCTCCAGGTCCCCATACCGGGTTTTCTATTGCATTAAAAAAAAAACAACCAAACCCTAAATGACTGTGCTAATCTTGATACTTCTTTAAAAAGTAGAGCTAAAGCCCAAAAGCCATATGCACAGTAACACCCACCCAGGACAGTCAGAGGAAAGAACCATTAAATTTAGGTATACAAAGTGACAGCGCTGCCAGTTATGCCAACGTAACTTTGCAAAATGTGCAAATTAAGTTTAGGCTTCTCCCACCCCTTTGTCCTCTCTTCTTCAGTTTTTAAGACCATGTATTGCATATTAGATGGAAGAAAGAAAAATGCTAGTCTCAGGGCAGGATTACATTGCAATGCCAATGCAGAGCAACATCTTCTCCAAGATTTTTCCACCAGAGGGTATGTCTCAATTGCAAGAGAAACAGCACTCTCTCCTTTTCCTGCTTTTCTGCTGTAAATCATTTGGATGCAAACTGTAAAATGCATAACTGCACCACATCACAACAAAAGAAGAGACTCAAAGAAAAAAGATCCTGGAAAGAGTACATACAGCTACCTATCATTATATATCCATATTCATTAATAGGAGGGAAGCTGCTACTTATTTTGCAGGTGCCAGTTTGGAAACCACAGTCAGACATGTGACTAAAGGGTGTTCAAATACATGTACTTGATTTTGGTAAACAGGCTCTACAGAGATATCACCTACATTGTATCTTAAAGCTCTAGCAGTAGGGCAATACAGATAGCATCTGGATAACCACTTAATCAAACACTAGAAAAGAAGAAAGGAGTGACATTTCACTACTTTGCAGCAAAAATTATTTGAGTATTTTAACCATGACTGAGGAAAAGGGCATACAGGATGACTGTGAAAATGTATGCAAGACCTTATATCTTAGGAAGAACAACAAGAAGTGGGCAATCTGTGTTCCTTCCTTCTAACATCAAACGACTGTTTATTTACACCATCTGCCGCAAAAAAAAACCTGCCTGTAGAAGAGTCCTCAGAACCCCCAAGGAAACAAACTCTCCAAAAGACAGCATCACCCTTTGCAGCCATGCTGGAAAGACAGTGCTTACTCACAGCACAACAGGAACCCAAGCAGCAGCTCCAGAGATCTCAGTCCTGGGTAATTTACGCAGAGTCATCACCAGCATTACTTGGGATCCAGCAGAACAAGCCCAAATTGAAGGGCGAAGGGAGTTTACTTTGGTTTTTCACTGAAAACATCTTAGGTTCTGTTCCAAGATTCACAATGGGGAAAAGCAAAGCCCCTCAAGGAACTGATGGATAAATGCACAGACACTGAGGCATCCTACTCTCTTCTGCTGGAATGGGCTCTGTGCCAGAGCTAGAAAGTTTTGAGGACCTAACCTCACTGTGAATAGCTGTTCCTCTCTGCCCTGCCCTCCTGGACCATGCCATCAGACTGGTAAGTTTTGTCTCTACCTGTTCTTCAGGATAGCCCAAGCACCACCTGCAGAGTCAACTTCTCATTACCCTACAGCACCTGAGTAGTCAGCTGGAGCAAATGTAGCCACAGAGCAGCTGGTCATCCTTGCTTAAGGCTGTATTGTGAAATGGGACAAGCACTCTGCTCTGTAAGCTAAAGAGGACATGTCACTTAGCGAAACAGCATTCCAGAATAATAATTAATGTAGTCTGCCATGGGAGAACAACAACATGAAAAGACTGCATCTTTGGAGTAAGGAGACAAGATTTTAATCTTACTATTTAATAACAAACCAGTAAACTAAAGGACAGAAGTCTCCCAACTACACTGTGTCAAGATCTCTAACTAGTTCGTGAAGCATTTTACGGGAAGTATAATTTTGTATGTGTAGCAAAGCAAAAGGTACTGATTAATTGCAACTCATTAAGTGTAAGTTGCTTAGTAATTAGGAAAAATTAATGCAGGCATGGCAAGGATGGCGCAGACAAGAATTCCACCTAGCAGAGTGTTGCATTTCCAACAGCAGCCAGCCTGCTCGAACAGCAGAAGAGTAATTTGAAATTCACTCCTAACCAGTGGGGAGAGGCAGTCAGACCATGCCTCCCAACATTTCTGAAAGAAATCTTATAAAAGAAAGATAACAAATGCCTTCATTATAAATGACCAGGTTAGACGATTAGTGGCTATCTCCACACATGAGCTACTAAAACTTCATGTTCCATGTATAACAAGCATTGATATCCTATTTAGAGTACTTGTGGATGTATCCCTCACCTGTATTCACGTTATCATTTTTTAGAGTTCAGCTAATGCTTATATAGAAGATAAGTCATAATTATCTCTTAAAGTGTATGCACCTTAAGAAATCACAAATAAACAAATATCCCAAATAAGATATTACCAACAAGATTTTAATAACATAATACATTCAAAATTTGCTCTTTATCCATTTTGGTAGAGAAAGTTTGAAGTGGGTGACAGATATCAGAAAACATTGCACATACTAGGATGGAAAAGGAACTGAAAACAAAGGCAAAGTAAGCCCTAGCACAGAATCAAGTTCTATGAACAAGACCACCAAGGCATGCAAAATTGTTATCACTCACCTCAGCTAGATGGCTGCAAACTGTAGATATTCTTTGCCTTTCTAGTTTTAATCTTACCATGAAACACAAGTACCCTCATAGAAACCAGATATATTTTAGCCAATCCTTTTTCAATGAAAGAAGGCAGTGGCCATGGACACAGGTTTCCTAGAGCAGCAACTTTCGGAGAAGACTCACATGAGATTGAATCACTCTTCCTCCACAGCTGGCTGCCAGGGGTTTTTGTCTTTACAGAAGTGCTATACCATAATCGACCACAAAACCCAGTGTAAGACAAGACAGCAATGCACCATTTTATTTGATGCAATTGTGTAGCAAATGGTTTTCTACAATAGCAGGAACCAGATTTTGGGAAACCCTGGGTCTGGAATTTGCAGCTTGGTTGTGACTTAACTAATAACAGCTAACACAAGTATAAAAGCCACATGAGAAATAGTTTCATTCCCACAACGCCACTGGTGAAGTTGGCTACATAAAGAAAACTAAAAAAGTCTGAACATTTCAACAAGTAAATTCTTTTCTTTGTACTGAATGGACAAGCTGTACTCCCACTCCTTCACAAAGGAAGTTAAGAGCTTCTTTATATTTCAAGCCTACTCTGTTTTTCTCAATAAAATACAAATGAAAGGGCCATGTGAATTACTACCAGATGACAACAGAGAGCTGGCCAGGTGTTTCAAACACTTGTGTCTCTTCTTCCTACATGAATTCCTCAATAGTGCATGCAAAGTAAATCTTCTTACTGCTCCCATCCTTTAAATCCATAATTAAAGCCAACTCAATTACATTTTGAGAAGCAAGGGCTTTTTTTCACATTCCTTCCTCTCTCCTTTCCCTTGGGGAGCATTTGACCTGAGCATCAGTGACAGGGGGACTTCACACCTTGTTTTGAAGGGCAGTTAGTGAATCAAGCCAGAGACTTTTCCCCTCTCAATACCTTTTCTGTAGCACAAGCTCATGCGGAACATCATGCAATCCGGTGAAAAGAGATACTATTAACTTCTGAACTGGAATGGGCATATAATCAGGAAACCTGAAAACAGACTAAAGCTTTTGTCATGTTAAGATGTTAGCCAACATGTCATGCTGAAATCGAGTCCTGTTTGTTATAAACCCTTTGGTCAACCCCTTCTCCCCCATCCCTATCCCACTCCCCCCTCAAGCCATAAAACCCCACTAACAAAGAGGTGAACAGAAGGACACATCAATCCAGCACCACTGCTTGATAGCATGCTTGGCATTTATACATAAGTACAACTTAATACTGCTTCAGTCCATTCACATCATTTATATCAAGTAAATTCTGAATTTGTCAAATAACCTCTGCAAATCCAATGCAAGAAATAAAAGTAAAATAATGTTAGTATCAGTGCAACTGAAAGATATTTGACAACAAACACAGGAAAAGCTATTGAAATTAGAACCATAGTAGTAAGCTTTAAAAATAGCAAACATTTTTGACAACTTTGAAAAATAATCCAGATGATCCTAAATGAGAACATACTTTTCTATTTACTTCAAAATTTAAATCCATAAATTCTAAGCTTTCATCAATTAAAAGGACCATTTCAAAAGGTATGGTAAAGCACAACATCTGATGGAACACAAACTGGGGAAGCCAAGTTTCCCACAGTGGTGCAAAAAGCTCTCAGTGGTGCCACAGGGAATTACCTGCAAAAACATGAACCAGAATAACCTCTTTGTTTTGGATTTGACTCCGCTTCACACATACGCTATTTATTACGACTGCCATAAAAATGGACAAAAGCAGCACATACATTAGCAGCAGCCCCTGCTTAAAAACAATAAGCACAGCACATTCCCCCCTCAGCCAGCTCCCCGCTGAAAGTATTCCAGACTGAGCCACAAAAACTGAACAGTGAGCTTTTGAATGACAGGACATCATGTGCTCCATAATCTACAGAATCAGTCAAGTACTTACAAGGTTTCTTAAACAAATTGATCATGCCTACAATTTCAGATGAAGTCAGAGAGCTCCAGACTTGATCTTCTCTGAGGAAGAAACAAAAGCCATGAAATCACCAAAGAGAAGGGTTTGTTTGGATTTTTCTGTTGATGTTTTTAAGAGAACTCTGAAGGACATACTTGTAACATGATAGGCAGCTTGTAGGAACAGCCTTACAAATCAAGCTGAGCATGAATTCCAGCACTCTGCTTTTATTTAGCAATCTCCCTGTGGAAAATGCTAAAGGGAGGTTTTAACTAGCAAGAGCCAAGGTGATTTCAGATTGATAGCTAAGACCTCCTGGCTGATCTTTCATGTGATATTCATTTGGTACATTAGTTTACATAACTGCTTTTGCTCAGTCTTCCCTAACTACAAAGCCAAAAATAGCTTACCTTTTCCACAAGGGCAGCAAGGTATACCTGGAATACTAGGCAACTCTTTATACATGCTAAGAATAACAGCAGCAGTTTTTCGAAAGTCAGAAAAATCTTGTCATTATATTATCATCCATGTTTTTACCTTTACAAGATGAGTTTAATGGCAATAACTACCAAGAGGCTGGACTTTTCAAGATAAATTGTGCCAGACACTAGTATTTTCTGAAGCATCCTATAGTACAATGAAATAGAGACAAGCAATAAGCAGCCTATGTTGTTATAAAAGAAGAAACAATGATGCAAATCCTTCTTAGAAAGCAATAAAGTTTTGAATATAAAACCTAAAAAGGACTTCATTATGCAGTTCTCAATCAACTTCGGCTGAACTAAAGCCTGTTACAGTACTCTTCTGTGCTTTGGATGAAACTTCCCATGGCTCCGACAGCTCCTTTCGCAGAGGTGTCATTCTTCCACAAACAGGTCTTTGCAACCAAGATTTAAGGGAAAATATACCCAGCAAAGCTAGGCTCCCAGATCTGTAGTTCAGCATAAAAATGTGTGGTATAATTTTCAGTATGCTGGGAACCAAGTAGCTTAAAATGCAGTTAAATCCTCTATGGGAAATTCATGTTTTAATGCTGTCTTTTAAATTCTTGTATGGTGTTTGTTCAAAATCATGTTTTACAAGCTTTACCCAAAGACCAGCAACAAGTGGCTAAGCTTAGGCATCCACATCCCAAAGATGTGAAGTTCACATGTGTGTTTAGGCCAAAAAGTGCTTCTCATAAAACTCAAGATGTAGAGAAAGACCGTACTTTCTTAATGTGAAAAGAAATCAAAGTTTATGGTTATCACCTGGTTTAAACAGAGGTCCTTAGCATTTGCATACCAATCACAGAGGCTCTTGAAGTAAGTAAGATAAAAACTTTAACAGAGGAAAATTTTAGTTAATCTATTTTACATAGTACATTTAATAATACCTGGTTTTTTTGTATCTCCTTCTGTCAAGTCAGTTAAAAACACAGTGCGTTTGGAGAAACACTGAAGAATCACAGGCTGCTTAGTGGCCTCATTTTGTTAAGCACTGGAAATATAGACAGAATAATTTCCCCAAAACACAGGCAAATAGGATTGAACAGAAAATGAGAGAAGTTAAAATAAAAAGCTTGAGAGTAATATTCTCCTGTCACTCTCTCCTCTGAGGTATCTCACACTGATTGGTTTTGGTAGATATGTTAAGACTTACATGTAATGATGAGTTTAGAAACTTCTTTCTTTAGGGACACATTTTATTTCATTAATGAAACACTGTCAGGAGCCACGAGAATGACTTTCACCCAGTTTAATTTTTAATTAAAAAGAGCTAAAAAAAAAAGATTAGAAAGATGAAACTACTCCGGTCTGACAGAAAAGCATGGCTTTTTGACCCATCTAAAATGGCTGCTTCCTCCACTCCAGCAGCTGACAGACGAAGATTCCCTGCAGCAAATAAATCACTTCACCCAGCTTCCTCAAGCCTTTCTCTCTCATCACCACACTTGATCTACCATCCCTCCTAATAGCCAGCAAACCAGGACTAATTCAGGCAACGGGGCTCAGGACCATCAGAAAGGCTGCATGACTACCCACGCAAACACTGTGTATCAGATCTGTGGTCACTCCCCTGGGCATGTTCTGCAGCTATTCAAGGCCTTTGCAGTTTTACCATTCAAACTGCATGACTGAGATCCACCTTGGAGATGAACAGTATACTGAAAAGCATGGGTGTCAAGAGGTACCTTTTAGATGGACCAACCTAATCTAGCATCAAAGCTAGATGCATGAATGACCATGAAACAATCTCCTAACTGAGGACAATTAAGCAGCGTTTAATCATCACACAAGTTATCAAAGGACTTTTTATAACAGCAGCTGAGGAGCAGCATCACTCAGACAACAGGCATGAAAACAACTGGTAAACAATCCTGTGATGCAGAGGTAGAAAACACTCCCTGTAACTTCCTAATATCAGCTTTATCTCAGTCACACCCAAACTGCCTGCCACTGGTGCCACAGCTTTTCTCTGATTAAGCAGGGATGAAAACTGAAACATCAAGACACTAAATGAAAGAGGATTAAAAGGTGAAGTGACAAAATTCAACTCTGTGCAGCCAAGGTTTAAAGAGAAAATTATTTATTTTTCAATTGACTTACAAGAAAATAGGTTTCGATAGCTGAAGAGTGTAATGTAGTAGACATTTAAAAGATCCCAGTTATTCCCCAACCAACTTCGGTTCATGTAAAATAATAATAATAATAAATAAAATTTAGGTACATGAGTGGTTTGCTTTTTTTTTTTTTTTTTCTGTGGAGAGTAATTAAATAACACACCACTGAATTGGCAATGATGCTGTCCACTGGCGCCAAACCGAATTTTTACCTCCTCTCGGCAGCTTTGCTGACTTTATGTTTCATCTTGACCTATTTTGGATGTGACAGGGAATCGAGGCAGCGGGATTGCTAAAACCTCGTCATATGTACTTGTAGATATTGGAGGTTATTAATGCAACCACAGTTTGGCATAGGCACTAGATCTTTAACTCAGGAAACACAGATGGTCAGAAAACTTAACTGCTGGTTAAGAACCCCACGGATTACCAACTCACTAAAGTGCTCCAAGCTACATGCAGTCAATGGGGAATACTGAAGCTAGGAAGAGAAATCGGAAGAGAGTTGCGGACAATGAACCAGGCAAAAACCACTTCACTAGAAAACAGGAAGCTTCTGAAAGGTGCTTAATGATACAAGAGACAGGATACATTATTTAGGCAAAACGTGTCCCACAGGAACTATGAGGGAGACAAGAGAACTCTCAAGCAACATAGTTGGACTCTTGTTTCTCATTTGTCCTTTAAATGCTGGAGGTCCAAATGGAAGAACTCTCAAGTTAGCAAAAGAAGTTTGGCAGCATATGGCCTTTGCAATGGTATATACAGTCATCCACCCCTAATCTGCTTCTTCAAAGAATCTCTACAAGGCTGCTGGTGCCCACTGAGTAAATATTGAGCAATAATTGTTTTCATTTCCTTGTGAGTGGACAGGTGCCTGATTTCCAGATCAACAGTCCCAACAGCACAGTCCTCAGCACCAGCGGAAACACAAAGCATCAAAGGGAGCACTAGCTCCCCAAGGATGTGCACCTCTGCCCCAGAGGCAGCACTAATTGCAGAGTACCTATGAGTGCTCCCCATGACACGCTCATCTGAAGGCACACGGGGAGCCAAGAGTTTACCAGAGTTTTCAACACAGCATCTCTGAAGCCCAGATCTTGTGCAAGCAGAATCAAAATGATAAATCTTATTATCTTTACCAGAACTCTCAGTTCAAAAGAAGCATCTCTTTTATGAATCAATCATTATCCTTGCATCAAAGTAAAGCCTTGCAAGTGTTGCTTCTTATCTTATTAAGCTATAAACACTGCTTAATCTTGCTCCATTATTGTCTCATCTATGAGCAGCTGAATTTCTACCAGGTTGGCTGAACTAACCAACTTATGTTGCTGTGATTTTGACATTTCAAAAAAATTCTGTTACACAACCACAGCAGAAATAAAAACCACTTGAGCAGCTGAAAGAGTAGAGCTGATTAAAAGGTGCTACAAAACAGGAACAGATTTAGGAATAATGAGGTCACCTCACACCTCAACACACACGAAGTTATTCTGTTCACTCAAATAACTTCACGTTCAGTAGTAGTCACAGCACAAAATACCACACCATTTTAAAGAGACAGAAGCATTTTCAACGCTTCAGCCAATTCAAAATATTGAACACAGAACAATACCATCATGTTTTACCTTTGGTAATATCTGTGCAGCCAAGAGCTGGATTGGGTTTTTGTTTTGCGTTTTAAAAAGACTGCGGAAACCATGCTTTTCTGAACCAGAGAGGAGTGCAGCAGTCAACAGCTAGTAAAAGAATGTTCTAGATGTCAAAATCGCTCAAAAAGCATGTCTGCCTACTGAGCTAAAGCATGATATTGCTGTCCCTAAATGGGAGTTGGTGTCTAAGCTGGTACAGATTGGAACCATTGAGTCATCCACCCTGGGCCTTTAAGGCAAACAGATGAAGAGTAAAGGGCTGGCAGAAGGAAAAGAGCAGGGAGGAAGTTAAGGAGGTAGAGGGGATTTAAACAAGATTAGCTACATGCGAATCCCAAATAAAGATTAAAATCACTGCCTTCTGGATTTGGGGATTGTGAAGTCAAGGTCATGAAATTAGAAGAAAAAAAACTGTCAGTTCATGAGCTTGAATGGTGACTTTTCTGGGGACAACTTTCAGCAGTATTTCAACTCTTAAGAGCTACAATTGCAGAGTTCTTCCACAAATCATAAGGAGAAACTGGCATTTAGTGCAGGCATCTAAAATTCCTCGCTCCTGTTTTATAGTTAGATCAACCATCTATTTTAACAAAAACAACAAAGTCTTTCCCACAAAGGTCTTTCTACTGTTTATACTCCCTGCTGCCACCAACATAGTCAAGCCCTTACATGGTGGATAGCCTGGGTCTGTTAAGTTACACTAATATGACAAACACCATGGGTGGAATGATCTTGCTTAGCTAACTTTTAGTTAGTTGGTATAGATTACAAATCTTTAAAGCCAAAGCAAGTCCTGTTAATTTATAATACTGTAACTAGTGCTCT